TACTCAGCTACCTATGATAGATTCCACCATGGAGTTGATTGCCAGTCTCATCATGGGGAATAACTACCACCAGCTGCCCAGCCACTCAACCAGGCCCAGCCAAGTTGACACACAACATAATCACCACAGAAGGGGATCTAATTTTGATAAGCTACTTCTCTTTCCTAGTTAAACAGAGGAAGCTGTACCCTTTTATGAATTAAATATTAATTTTTCTCTGAGGAGTTTGTGAATAAAAAAGAATATGTAAATATATGTAGGTACACAAATACACATGTACATTTCCTACTAAGAATTAACATAAACATATTTTGAATTTTCCCTGTTATGATTTTTTTTATATTGTCACCAAAGTAATTTGGAGTAATTTTGTTACAGACAAAAATGTACTGTTCCTTTACATTTATGGAGGTGAGAATAGAAAATGTTATTATAAAACACAAGGCTGGTGTTAGAAGTCAGGAAAGCAAAAAGATGACAAGCTCTGTAGTATTTCAAATTGTCAGTTATAATTCCAGGGCTGAGTAAGGGATTTCATTACTTCTCTCTGTTGTTTCTGAAATTACCCTTGCAGCCCAGCAAACAATATGAACTTGTTTGAGGGGGTCAGAACATTAGGAAGAATTGGCAGAGAGAACATAGGGTAAAGAAATAAACTTTCATTTCACCCACATGCATGTGTGTACTTTAAATGTTTTGTTGCTGTTATGTGCCGTCGAGTCAGACCTGACTCATAACGACCCCTCTTTGGGTTTCCAAGGCGGTATCACTATGGGAGTAGATTGCCCAACCTTTCTTCCAAGGAGTGGCTGGTGGGTTTGAACCACCAGCCTTCTGGTTAGCAGTCAAATGCCTTAGGCACCATGCCACACGGACAGTAGTAATTCATTAACTCTTTCCACAGATGACTCCCCAGAAGGCAGATATCTTAACTCCTATTAGAACAGAAAGCATTAAAAGCAAGGACTCCAGTGCCTCTCTCCTTACTGTTCTTCAGATACTTCATATTTCTTCTTCCTTTC